CGGTGTAGAAATAATGACCCTTCCACGGCTGTCATTGTGAACATGTGAAATTATATATTTTTTGATCTCACCTGAGTATAAGTCGTGAAACACAGCCACAGTATTGTAATAAGACACAAAGAACTATTTTTTTGTTTATGTTTTAAAACTTGACTTTTAACAACAGACTAGTCTCCATCTAAGAAATCGTATGCTTTTTGGAGCTTGTTCAACATCTGACTGGCAAAATTACTGCCATCAGGTGGTGGGAAGCTCTGTTGTCACTGAGTATCTCATGAATACTGTAACAGATAACCAATGTCTCCCTGTAGCCCCAATGGTCCAACGGTGCAATACCGACATTTTTGCAGCCCTCTGGGTGGCGCTAAAGACCTAACCTTGGGCTTTGGCTTTATGGTTAAGAATTAATGCCTTGTATTTTCATTTGTTTAATATGTGTCATTGCTGTTTTGATTCTGTTTGTTAGTCTTACACATTTAAACTTCTCCTAATCATGTTATTTGTATTTTGTTATTTTGAATCTTCTTTTCTTGTTGTCATTGTACTGTATATTGTGATCATTCTTTGGTCATTTGTGTCATGTTATCACTAGTATTTGTTGCATTGTTGGTTTTACTGTTTACTTTTTGTTGAATCGGTGCGTTGTTTTTAATGTGGTTTTTGTTGCTGTTCTTGTGAAGCATTTTGTTTTCGTTTTGTTGTTGTTGTTGTTGTTTTTTGCATAGTGTTTTTTTTTTTTTTTTTTTTAATCATTGTTTCAAACCATTGCCTGTTTGTGAGCGGGCAAGTGTGTGAAAAAGCCATATTCATATTCCAACTGCCCTCCCACCCACTGTGAAGGTGGGAGGTGGATGGAATGTTGCTGCAGCCAATCTTTGGACTGCTAGCATGCGCGCGTGTGTGTATGAGGCAAAGACTTGGAGATCTGAATTCTTCGTTTAACCCGAGGGTCTTTCACTCATAGCTTCAACAACGTAGCAGCCAGGACAGAGGATCCAGTATGTCTTAAAGAAATTCTGGACTAATTTGTTGAGAAGTATTTGGATCGTAATCGGTCATCATGCCGCTGCTCCCTGTGGCTGCTCCTTGAGAAGATGACCTGTCACACAGTGGGCAGTATTCGGTCTTGTAGAGAAGATGAGAAGATTTCAGGGCCACAAATGCCGTCTTCTAAACGTGCACCGTGTCCACCACGGCGTCCTCCATCAACCCCACCCCTCCCCACCCGAACCCTGCACCTTGTTCCTAGGCAGCCTGAAACAGTTGTTGTTCTACGAAGTTGTGGAAAAGTGAAGAAGTCAGGAGTCAGAGATTCGTGGCCCTCAGCGCAGACGAACACGGAAGTCCAGACTAGGAGATGCCCTCAGTCGAAATCTCACCTCACCCGGTCAGGCCTGCTGCCTTCATCACAGCCAGCCTTGAACGCCCTCCTGCCTGCCGACCCTCAACCTCATTGTTTAATACCCATAGCAACACCTAGAAGGTGGGGCTCGGAGAACTCCGTGATGTCGCCGCTAATGTTCCCTCACAGGTAAATGGAAACCTCAAGACAGAGATACAAGTGGTCCTCAACTTACGTCAGAGTTTGGTTTCTTGCAGTAACATAATGAGTTGAAACTTGAAACAAACTGATCCATATTATGTATTGCAAAAATATGTATGAAGACGGGGCCTGATGGTCCAGCAAATACTGTATTGTTTTTTTTACATGGAGTTAGTCGCAGCAAAACAGCAATGAAAACTACATGGAAAGTGTTCTGTTGAACTCTCTCTCAATTTGGTCTGACAAGCAATTACGTTGGAATATTTGAACTTGTGCTTACAAGCCATAGTGAAGGACAAAAAGTTCTTAAAAAATTTGGCGTACCGATTAATGTAAGAGCTGTCTTCCTTGTCGGAAGGACGGAACGATATACGTATATTTAAAAAAACCTAATTTTTATGCAGGAGGTGTGGCAACGTAGGTTGAGGACGTCGTAAACTGAGGACCCCTTTGGTTATAACATTTGTTGCCTGTCTTTTCTCACCTTTCCCCATATGTGTGTGTATCTCTCCAGCATCTCCAGTAAGAATCTGGATGCCATTGACAGCAAAATCGAACAGGCAATGGTAAGTTTGGCTCCGTGGATTATGCTAACTGCATAATGTTGTTGTAAATCTGTTGACTTGTTGTCTGGGACCTTGCAGTATATTGTGCTTATGCTGTGGTTGATCTGTGATTCATATTGTAGTAGCATGACTTTCACTCAATACACGTCTTTCTTTGATTTGACTGCAACCCAACCATGATTTTATTGTTTATAATGGTTTATCACAGAGGATTCTTGTATTTAAATAATTGTCATATAGCTACGCTTCTCTGTGATCCTTTAAACACAACCTATTCAATTGCAGGGAATCTCTAGTTCTAATCAATCTTAAGGTTTGATTGGTTTTCCCCTCTGCGTAGGACCTGGTAAAGAGTCACCTGATGATGGCAGTCAGGGAGGAAGTGGAGCTACTGAGGGGCTATATTCGAGAACTACACGAAAAGAACAAGGAGCTAGAGAGAGAAAATCAACTCCTGAAAAAGCTCGTACACACCACTGACTGTCAAAACACGCACAAACACCTCAGCAGTACTTGATTCATAAATACAGAAGATGGTAGAACTTGAAGTCCATTGATTTCTCTTGAAAGATTAGTCCTGTCTATCTATCCATCCATCCATCTATCCATCTATCCATCCATCTATC